TTCCCATCAAGTTTATCCAGCATTTGATCAATAAACGGCAGCGGGAAATGATCCTTTCTAGTGGCGGCATTGAGCTTCCTATAATCTATACATACCCTCCAACCAGTCACGGTTCTAGTGGGTATCAATTCATTGTTATTATTGGCCACCACTGTCACTCCCCCTTTCTTTGGTACACATTGGACAGGACTGACCCAAGAACTATCTGAAATTGGGTAAATTATCCTTGCATCCAGCCATTTGATGATTTCCTTCTTAACCACATCCTTTATGATGGGGTTAAATCTCCGTTGCTGTTCCACTGAATTGCTGCAGCAATCTTCTAGCAGGATTTTGTGAATACGCAGGGAAAGACTGATCCCTTTAATATCAGCTATCGACCATCCCATAGCCCTTTTATGCTTTCTAAGCACTTCAAGCAACATGTCCTCCTGTTCCTCATCCAAGGTGGATGATACAATTACTGGCAAGGTACCTTCCTCACCCAAATAAGCATATTTCAAATGATTTGGCAAAGGCTTCAATTCCAACATTGGTAGTTCTTCAATTGATGGCCTAAGATGCTTCAAATTTCTCTCAAATAAATCCAGCGACTCAAATGGTCTTCTTTGACAAACAACCACTTGATCAGTTTCCCCCAGTAATGCCTGAGAATCATCGTCAACCTGTTCAACCTCCAATGTAGCATTTGTGATATCCTCCTCCTCTATTTCCTCATAAGCATTCTTATTAAGTTCTTCCAACACAAGAGCATCTAACACACCCACAGTCGAACATTCTTCAACCTCATCTGGAAAGCGCATAACATTGAGAACATCAAATGTGACCTGCTCATCATCAACTCGCATAGTGAGTTTACCTTTTTGCACATCAATTAATGTCTTCCAGTAGCTAGAAATGGTCTACCCAAAATAATGGGCACCTTCTTGTCTGCTTCATAATCCAAGACGGCAAAATCCATCGGAAAGATGAATTTATCAACACGCACCAGCACGTCTTTAATTTTTCCCTCCGGATGAATAAATGATCGATTGGCAAGTTAAAGGGTGACTGTAGTTGGCCTAGCTTCACCAATACCTAGCTACTTAAAAATAGACATCGGCATCAAATTTATGCTTGCACCCAAATCACACAAGGCTTTACCAAAATAAGTGTTGCCAATTGAACATGGGATTGTGAAACTCCCTGTGTGACGACCCTCCTATGAGGCCGCCACTGTAACTTAAACTTTAACTTGTACTTACTGGGGTTTCTTAAAATTTGCGGAACATTTTTTTTTT